TCCCTTCATAGTTTGGGAAATTCAGCAAATGAGCCTAGAGCTAAGTGCAGGCTCTTTCCCAACCTATTCAGATGTGACAGAGCTTTTTCATACCCTGCATCTGAAATCCAGGCTGTGTCACACTGAAGGTGATCCTGTAGCTTTCCCTCATGGACAGTGTACTATGGCATTCATCATATTCTGTAGCTTTCCCTCATGGACAGTATACTATGGCATTCATCATATTCTTTTGTTCACACTCAATACCACTTTGCAAGGCTTGTGACCTGGGGACAAGCATCTCATTGCTCCCCATGGCTGTATCCACCTTGGCTGTCCCTTGCCAGTGCTTCTGCCTGGGCATCAGAGGGGGGTTGGAAAACCCAGGGATTCAGAGTGGTTTCTGAGCAGCCAAAGCCAGGTGATGGAGAGAAAACAGAGTTTGCATCCTTGGCTAAAGCAGCTTCCTGAAAGTGAGTAACGAGTTGTATCCTCCTCCTATGCTTTACAAGTGCCCCCAGGTATGAGCAGCTCAGTATAGGAATGGGGAGCTCAGGGGTCTCCTTCCCATGCAGTTGTGCTCTAGGACTTCCAGCTGCAAGAGAGCATGTAATAATGTAATGGGAACACCAGCAAGAAGCAAATAATAGAGCTGTTACTGTACAATCTTTGGAGCTTGAACTTTGACTGTAAAATGTAAAAGTAGATTAAAAATGCAGAGGCCAGCATTTTCTCATCTTTTGGTTCAATTTTTACAGCACAGCTTAATTTGATCTCTTCTTTGTTTGATAGTGTATAGCACATTCTAATAAAATATTTAATAAGACATTCCCCTGAGGTTAAGAGCCACAGTAAAATAGTCCTTATTTATGGTTAGATTTATACCCGAGAATCTTGCAAGCAGCACACAGTGAGCTGTGTGACGATTTTAATGTGAGGGTGCCATTTTTATCATCAAAATGCCCATTATTTCATAAACAAGCTATTGTTTTCTAACCATGCACACAAGGGGCATTATTCAAGAGGGAAAAAAGATAAAGTTATTTAAGAAACGGTACCCTGGGTGCGTGTAGTATCTTTTCTGTGAGTTTAATACATGATACTATTGATACCATAATCTATTTTTAGAAAAATGCATTTTCTCTGGAAGTAGCTTATAAAATTATATTTTTTAAAATGTTATCTTCAGCAGGCAAAGCATGGAAGTAATTTTATTTTTACTATTTTAAGAGTAATGTTTTTACATTGATGATTCAACAAATACCTTAGTGGATCCTTTAACTTTTAAATAATTCCACTATCTAGTACAGCAGTACCAATGCTGATATAATTTTGGGCCATATTAGATAGACTACTCTAAGCTGTTCCATGAGGCAAGAAATCCTGCTTGTATGGTTCAATCTGTGTGCAGTACAAGACTGAACAGTACTGCATGATCTTGAAAATCACTCTGAAAATTGGTAAGTCTGAATTTTCACTTATACTATAATGTTTCTTGGCAGATAGAGGTAAAAAAAAAAAACAACAAACCAGCAAAACTAAATATTGGATGTCATAGGACCAAAAGGAGCTTGAAATGTACAATGTGTGTAAAAGTAGACCTTGGACAGCGAAGCCAGATGATGGTAAGACAATCATCAGCAAGCCATGCCCATTGATAAGTGCCGCAGCCTGGCAATCCACCCATGCCTAACATGATGGAGTTAAATTGCCAAAATTTCCTTGATGGCTCCATGCGTTTTTGCTCTGAAGCATCAACACACAGAGATCTAGGTAGTCATTGCTTCTTGAAGAACCAACATTGTCTTCAGAGGTGTCCCTGGACAATTGACTGCTAGTAGATCTCTAAGATGGTGTCTCTACCCAATTCCTTTGGTCCCTCAAAATTTCTATTCAATTTCTATTACATGCCTCTCAGGTGTGCTAGAAAATGATACCCCAAACTTTTGATTTTGACAGCTCATTTTGGCGTAAGTTTCCCTTGAAGACATTTCAAGGACGTTTTTGATTCTCCCTTATAAATTTGGGCAGATATGTTGACACAGTTGTCTACTTCCAGTCACCCTCCAGTGTTAAACTTGTGTCAGCGTTTGTCCTCAGATTCGTTATCCTTTGTACCAAATTCACAATTGTGTGTGGATGTAGCCAGCACCTTTGGAAAGAACTGGAATGCTTCTGTTCATATAGAGATCCCTACACCTTCACCTGTAGACTCTTTCCCCAAATCAGTGTCATACAAGCAAAGATAAATGCTTCCCATGACTACAAAAAACTTGCATTTTCCTGACATTTCAGGTGCCAGATAGAACCCAGGTGAGGAGAAAGCCTTGTCTTCTGGTGCTGATGGGGATCAAATGTGAGCTTTGTTCTCCTATTGCCACCCGCAAACTCTGTTAATATCCTCATATGTAGGAAATATTTAGCATCAGCTATTTTTTGGGGTTTTTTTTTGTTGTGGTTTGTTTTTTTTTACTGGCTCCTACTTCAGTTACTAGAGAACATTGCTCTTATATGTACTGCTTCTGGGACTACACCAAGTAAAGGATCTAAGTTTGGCTGGGAGAGAAGTCCTGCTGGTGAACTTCAGTTGGACCAGCCCTTTTGTTCTTCTGCTCTTGAGATTTCTCAGAGCAGTGAGTCCTTCCAGGTTGCCCACATATAGAGCAAAGATCTCAGTCAGTTCCTGTTTTCTTATCACTCTCCAGAACTGTGACTTTGCTGGGGCTTTCAACTGTCCCAGTATCCCTTGAATGGGATTTTTCTCATTTTCCCCTAGTCCTGTGGTGCCTGATCACTGTTCATAGCAGTGGGCCACTCATCCCCAGAGGAAACTGCTCCTGGAAGCTCTGGGTAAGAGGAGACACAGGCTGCACTTCCAGACTGCTCTGGCTAACTGTGCTCCATGGAGGAGCCAGGTCACAACATCTCCTGAAGTCCAGAATGGCATTTCCATTGTGATTTGCATTCTGCATTTTTACAGCATCATGTAAGTGGCACATTCATGCTCTTCAAGGAGGCTGCCGAAACTCCTATGTTATTGTGGAGAGCAATAAAATGTTGTTTGATATCCCTCCTCCCAGCTCTCAGCAATTAAACTTCTTTCCTCTTTGCCAATGTTAAATAGTTTGGCAGAGTTTTGGCAGAGTAGCATGTTGTCTGAAATCTGTTCATCCAGTTTTTCTCTCGTTCTTTGCAACAAAATTGAGGAAGATGCACAATACCGTAAAGAAGCACTTGAGCAGAGTTAACACAGAGTAAGGGAAGACCACTGGAACACTGCAGAGCTGCAATAGTTGTGTAGATGTGCTAATCCACTCTGTTTCTAGCTGATGCTTTCTCTTGATGTTCTCAAAAAACTGAGCACACGCTTTTCTTGGAGCTTCAGAGCTAACAGGCGAAGACTCTCAGGGGAGGTAGTTAACTGCTTTCCTTCAGTCTAGGAGCCAGGACCAAATAGAAACCTCTGCAGAAGCAGTATGGAAGCTGGAGAGAGAGCACATTCTCCCTGTCGTGAGCTAATGACAGTGAGGCAGAAGGGGAGAGAAATTTACTGCTAACAAGCAGAGCCATCCTTCCTCTGAGCTCCCAGTTTTAGCCCCATGCATCTCCTCACTGCCACCATGAAAGAGTGTGGGGGTCGGATCCCTCTCTCCCTGTCCCAACAGCGCATGGTCAAACCAGCACCCACCGTGAGACACCCTGCTCCCTGGATGCTCCTTGAAAATGAGTTATAAAAGACCATCCAGAATTCTTCTGATTTAAGGACATCAAATTCAGTTACTGTAAATTCTGGCATGCCTAATTTTGCTATTTCAATCAATTCCCAGCAGAAATTAAGCAGATGAGCTGGGATTCAGATGTTTGATGTTAATGGGATTGCTCGGGTAATGACAAAATGGAAAGTTATTCCTAGCAGAAAAAGTAGTTGGTCCCTTTCACATCTTCAATTGACACTAGCATTAGTATCAGTTCTTCTCTGTTGGGAATATTACATCTTAACAAGGTTCACTATAATATCATCCTTTCTCAGCAGCGATCAGGAGAGAGAAGGCCTCTCCAAATCATTGGCTTGCTGTCTTGAGATTTTTAGCATTTAGGCCTCACACTTGTCAGGGGATACTTTGCATTGACTTCAGCACCTGAACAGTTTCAGTTTCCAGTACTCAAGTGTCTGGAAATCAACTTTTTTTTTTAAACTTAGTTTTAACTCTCTCCCTCCCTCCCCCCCCCCCCAACTTTTTGGGGGGCAAGAATCTGCAGAGAAAATGAGCACTATTTCCAAGCTATGAGGTATTATTACAAGTGAAGTTAAAATCCTCAGGGTGGAGAAACATGTCAAAATAATCTGGCAAAGCTGTGAAACTAGGGTCTCGGGGAGAAAGGGCAGCTCCACTGTGCTGCTTTCAGCTTAACAGGAAACCATGTCAGCTCTGAGTCTCAGCTCCTGCAGGTTGTACAATTTCTGAGCGGAGCACCCCTTCTGAGGCTGTTTCCAAAGGTGCAAAGCTATCAAACTGCAAACTCTTCAGGTGCAAAATACTCTGTGCAAAATACTAGGGCAGGTGTCCTAATGCACGGTATTATTGGGGAGTATAATAGAGCTTGGTGCAGTCGATGCCATGTGGTTTTCCCAAGCCGAGGACATCCTTCCTCCACGCCATCATTCATGGCGTAACATCACAGGCAGTTCCCCTGTGCAGAGGTCACACCTTTGCTTAGTTTCTAACCCTGGTTCTCCATCTTCCATTTCACCATCTATAATCCAAAAATCCCATCTCAAATGTAACACCATGTGTTTGAGATTGTTGAAACATGGTTAAGGAGATTGAGATGTACAACTGTGTGACTAAATCCCCTAGATAGGTTTGATAATCAGTCTTTATGCACAGCTCCAAGTTATTTTGAATGGAGGAGTGCTGAAAATAACCAGAAAATAAATAAATAAATAAACTGTAAGTGACCTCCTTTCCTGTGCTTCCAGATTGGGATATCGTGTGGGTAAACAACTTTGAATAAAGCTGTTCTAAATTAAATAAATCACTGGCTTTGGTGGGTATAATACAAGGCGGGCAATAAGAGCTATTTAAAATCCTATCGAGATGTTAAAGTCCTTGTCCTGAATGCAGGGGGACTTTTGTGCATTGCCTCCAGCAGCACACCTGGATATGGCAGCTGTCTTGCAGACCACCGTACCCTGATGTGGCCTGTTTCATGCCTACCTGCACTTGCTATTCAGACATCCAGGGCAGATTGCCAGCTCCCTGCTCAAGGGACATACTGCGGTGCAGTGGGGTAAAATTAAATCTCTGTTCTTACAGTGAGACAAAGCTTAGTGAGGGCATGACTGCCACAGCTGGACAACAGCTTCAGCTTCCAAGGCCTCCAGAAGGGTTACGAAGTTTGGGTTTTTTGAAGGACTCCCAAAAACTGTTGGGTTCAGCAGGGAAGCTGTGCTGCCTCTGCAAAAGCAAAGGGCTCCTTGTGGAGACATTTGCTACTGTCTGCTTTAGCATGCAGCCAGCCTACTTGTCATATGGCCTTAGCTGAAAATGAAAAGGCATGTTTGAAGTCAGTGGTACTGAATACTTTAACTTCATTATTTGAAGCATTTGTGATAGTTGTATTGTAACCCTAATTTCTACTGATGTGATTTTTGGAAATGGTTAACAATTACAGGTCACCTTTGAGATGTAAGCATCTTAGCATTTGTTGTAAAAGCTTGTTAAGAGTAATCTGTGTCTTATTTATCCTGTCACTGTATCATTTCATGTGCTAATGCACTGGGAATGTCAAACTGTGCTGACAATAGCAGAGCTTTCCTTCTACTCATTTTTATTCCTGTGCAAATATAATTAAGGCAAGAAGTGTCTTAGGGGTGCCTGATCACATGCGTGCATTAAATTAGCTACCCTTTTCCTTCCTAAGGCAAGCAGACCCAGCACTGCAAGGTCTCTGGGAAAGACCCATGTCTTGTGTCTGTTAGGACAGCATCTTGCATGCTTAGTCTCTGAGTCCTCACCCATGCTGGCTGTATGCAGGCAATTGTTAAGGGTGATTAAGTGGGAAATAGATACGCGTTTCATCTTCAGCATGGGAACAGCCCCAGCAGCTGCCTCTGGAATTACTGTCATATTTCACATTAGGCTTGTGCTTCCGACTTCTGAATTTAGGTTTATATTGCAGCAAAACTCCAACAAACATGGAGTCTTTGGAAAACTGGAACTGGGGGCTTTGGGAGTTATTCTTCCAGAATTTGGAGGGAAATGGAAATCTTTCCACCAGCTGCCAAGACTTTTGTATTAGACCTCTGAAACGTAGGCCTCCGTATGGAGCTATATCAAGAGGATGTGTCTGAATGTCTGTGAAGTGGAGGCAGTGTGACAGCAAAGCTTCCATGTAGCCCAGGAAGAGTATACAAGGGGCACACTGAAGACATCTGGGATACAGGGGAGGACGATCTTTGGGCAGAATTATATCTTAAAAACAATTTTGAAATTCTGCCGGTCATTCTTTAAAGGCCACAGGGAACTAGCAGTATTTGATGGGGCTCTACCTGGGCATGAGGCACCCAAAGGATAACTTCATCCATCTGCTGAAGGCTTCAGTGTGGTTAGAGGCCCAGACACTCTGACAAAGGGTGACTTGATCCCAGACTACCGAACAAGCAATCATTTGAGTTACTCTCACCATACAGATGGAGTAATTTAGGCAGTGACCCACGTGTGCCGATGATCCCTACAAACCAGACTGCTTTTGATTCAGTACCCAAGAGTGGTTTCAGATGCCTGGTATAAGACCTTTTCAGATAAGGAGTCTATGGGAACTTGGCCAAACCACTCCATCACTACATCATATAATTTGATACATATAATTTGAAGCATATAATTTCACACTGTGTAATCCATCAGAGTTCATCTGTCTCAACTGAAAATGACCTTGTACATGAATAGATGAAATTCTAATTCTGTCCCATTTTCTAGTTCCACTGTTCCCATAAATTAAATGTGGTCAGTAGAAGACTGGGAGAATATATAAATGAAATGAATCAACTCTCTGCCCTTTTAGACTGACAGAAGACTGTAACAGACTGCAACTAAAAAGTGGTCATAACTTGCAAGTTATAAAAGATCCCGTGGTGAACACAATTAGAAAAAGATATTTAACAGTATATTGTCTATGTATGTTGGAGCTGCAGGCACACACTGAAGCGCCAATAACTTGAAGCAAGAATGGCTGCCGTTGTTGCTCTTTTTTGATTTATTTCCAGACTACTCCAACTTCTTGTGCAAAATAGTTTCAACAGCTTCCAGCTTTGAGGAAATAAGTAGGCAAAATTTGCCGCTATAAACACATTCAAGAGGAGGACAGTGTAATTCTCTGCACTAATCACTGACAGCCTACTGTGAATTGTCAGTATCACTGAGGGATGTACATGGTGTCTGAAAAAACATCGCGGTTCTGTTCTTTACGTGGCTTTTTTCACACTGGTTTCACAGTTTTAAGCAGAGTATCAGGTACAGTTGTCTTGCAACAGTTTCAGCAGAGAGATGGTCTGGAATAACGAGTCAACATGACAATGCTGCACAGGGGTGCAGGGGTGAAGATAAGAGAAGCCATAGTAAGAACAGTAGTATAGCAGCATCATTAACCTTCTTTTTTTTTTCCTTTTCTGCACTAAATTTTCCACAGACAAGAGCGTTGGTAATTTTAACTTTGATTGAGAACTGCTATTATCCACTCACAGCATGTGGGAGCAAACAGGCACTTGGATAAATCACAAAAAAGAAAACCGCTTAGCATGCTGCTTTCCTCAATAACACCTTTTTCTGAAGGTACAGGCTGAGAGCTGTAGGGAGAGCGCTTGTGAAGAGAAAAGCAAGGTTGCAACAGCCCACTGAAGCGTGCTCAAGGTCAGCCCCTCTCATAGAAGACCAAGAAGTCACGTTTGACTTAGAAGGTATTCTCATATGTTTAAAAAATTTAAGTAATTAAATAATTCAGTGAATGAAAGCCATCAGGATTCTAATGCAGTGTTAATGAGGTCTTTCAGGAATCATGAAGATCAGTTTCCTCAGTGACATAGCGGGAGCCGTTAGCAAGCTCATCCAAGAGTAATCACCCATCAAAGGTGAGTGCCTGCACATCCATGATGCAGAGGAGCTTGAGGAGCAGGACAAACATTCCTGCTTGCAGTGGCTGCAGTGGGACGCCCCTAAATTGCCTCATTTTCCTCCTGCAGGCACTCAGCCCAGGGCTGTGTTTGCTACCTCTCAGCGGTGGATGAAGTGGGCTGACTCCACCAGCGTGAGTATGCAGGAGGTCATCTTCTCCACAGCCAGCGCTGCTTCAGGTGAGAGGAAACTCAAACTGATGTGAAACATGGAGTACTTCTCACATGCTCATTGAGAAGAAGACTTGCTGGACAGCCTCCATGAAATCAACACTGTTTTGGATTGGAATTTCATACTGAGCATGCCAGCAGTGCTACCATGGCAAAAGACAAGCAAGAGTAAGGGCTACAGCTGCTCCTCTGACATTGCTGGTACAGTTTCTAGAATAAATTTCCAGCTCCTACTAACTCCTGCTTGTACACCAAGGAAAGGACCTGAACTGGAGGAGGTTTGGCACTTCGTCTGTGATGTGCAGAATCCAGCAATAAATTATTCCACTATGAAGGTCTAATACAGTTAATAGAGCATATAAAGCTGTCTACTGTGTTTCATCATATTTAATTTGCTGCAGCAACCTGCAGCCATCCAAGTTGTTTCATTCTCCCTTTTATAACCCTCCGATGCTCTGAGAGATGCTCTCCCAGCAGAGGAGTCCCTGTGTCACCAGCACCTCTGCATCAACAGAGCACTGCAATGCCTTCAGAGCATTCAGCTGCTTCTTACCCTCCAGCATGGCCCCAAGACACATCATCCTGTCATGCTTTGCGGTTTATGAGTGATGTGGTTTACTGCCCCAGCAGCCTCCTGTGCTGCCTGTACCCTGTGATAGTGCTTAGCGACAGAGCAGTGACCTGCTGGTCTCCCCCCAACCATGGGATGGTAGAACTTTGCTTCTCACAGGGGCTGGGACATTACAGAATCCAGCCTATGCCTCAAAGCCTTTGGTCAGATGGGGTCACGCGCCACAGCATGTGGCACATGGCTGTGATAAAACATGGATGTTGGGATGAAGTTTAGCCACCTGCAAGCATGTTGTGCCATGTGAGGGATCATGAGAAATTATTATTCAGGAAATTGCAGCGGCTGTTGGGAAAGAGAGCAGCTGAGACTTTACCATTGCCACCAAGGATGCTGCAGCTGGAGACAAGGGAGAGCAGGGGACTGGCAATCAGAGTCCACCTCTGAATCTCCCCATCTTCTTCCTCAGTGTGTTTGGATGATGCAGGGCTGGAACAAACTCCAGGCAGAAGGTGACTGTACCTTGAACTTTCTGGGGCAGTCCTCAGCATGACAGGGCAGACCGTGTTCCCTGAGATCTCGAGCAGATGTGCTGATGAGATGGTACATTTGAGCAAGACCATTGAGAGAATGTGTTGGTTTCTCCCAGTTTCTGCTCAGGTTGTTAATACAATCCCTTTGATAAAAAACAGTGATTCCCTGCCCAGTCCCATTGATCCCCAGCAGGGCTAGAGAACTCTTGTGGACAGCCAGCATTCCCATGGGTCTGGAGTGTGAACAGGGAGAAGTGGGGTTGCCACCAGAAATATCTGGGCACTGCTGCCCAAAATGCTACCTCAGCTGCCCCTATCTCTCCTGCCCTGCATGTAGCCTTTGTGGTCTCAGTCCAGCACAGCTTCCCTGCATTTGCATGACACCACGCAGCACCCACCACCATCTCTGATGTCCCAGCTTGACTCCACAATAAGAAGGTGATGGGTCACAATACTGCTAAACATGCGCACGCTTTAGTCTAAGGGTGCAGATGAGGGAAATAGGAGTACATAGAGCTAGGGATATTATAGTAATGTATTGCAAGTCCAGCAATGGTGCCTATCAAAGGAACAAAAAATCTCACATAAAGTATTTCCAAAGAACTTTTGCGGTGTCCTAGCCCAGTGATCAGTGCAGTGGTGTGGAAAAAATCCTGTAGCACATTTATTTGCATGGTGGCTGCTCTCACCTGGGCTAGATTAAAAGAATCACATCCCAGCACCAGATAAATGAAAGCTCTGCTTCCCAAGACATGCCCCATAGCTACTCATCTGGAAAGCGGGGAGCCTTCTTATGCCTTTCAATCACTACAAAACATGCTGCTGGACCTCTGGAAGCTGTTTTTTCACTTATATTTATTACCATAATTGACATATGAAACACTTTAAAACACTTATTTTGCATAATCTGTGATTTACAGTCATTACCATGAGAGCGTGTCCTGTAGCTAGCCTTAGATGACAGGCATAATTCAAAACTATTTGTTGTTCCCTCTGTGACCTAACCATGAAAAGGGACAGAGTGAATACAGAAATGTGGAAAGAAAGGATGGCAATTTATTTCAGGAGGTGCAGTAGCAAGTTCCAAGAGGTTAAGAAGAAATAAGTCTGACTGTAAAGGTAATGAGCTAGCAAAAAAGGGAGTATGAATATCTGCGAGTGCTGGCTTGCTATGATTTCAGTGATGTGTCAACCCCACACAACTGAAGTGGGATGCTCGGGCTTTGCCATAGCGTGGTATTTACCAACCATTTGTCAGGCAGACCAAACCTTCTCTGGGCACACCAGGAAACTGGAATTCATCTCTTCACACATCTGCCATCTTAAAATTAAGAGTCTTGTTTGAAATGCTCATCTATGTACCTGCAAGTAATAGAGGGGAATAGGCAGCTCAGGCAGGTGGATCAGCTAATCCTGAAATGCAGGAAGAATAAATTGCCCTCCAGAGATATTTCTGTCTTGTCTTTGACTACAGAAGGAGTCTAGGCAGCAGTTTCAGACTAGAAGCTTAAAAAAGAGCTTGCTAACAGTTGGTAGGAGGATTCGCACCAAATAGTGATGGTAGGGACTATTCAATAAAACTTGCTCCATCCTGAGTCTTTTGAGTGGTTTTAATATTCAGATCAAAGTTGCACATTGCCTACATGATGCTGTGGCTCTCACTGGCCAGAATTCCTGGATGTACAAGATCATGAAGAGCAAGTAGAGCAATGGAAGAACAAAATGTGGCCTTCAACCCCATCTGTTCCAGGAGCTTTTTGGGTGACTGGAGAAGATACTTCACCTCTCTGCCCCTTAGCTTGTCCGTATATAAAAAGAAATATTGATGCTGGTTTACACTCAGTCTGGAACCTCAGAGCAGTCATTCACTTCAGTGGTGGTGTGTTGAGAAGTGTTTCTGCTCATTAATAGGCACCAATAGACATTTTTCTCTACCACCTCCCAAGCCTGCATATACAACTTAGTGATGGTTTGGACATCCTAAGAAATTACATTAGAGTGCTGGACCCTGCAAGACCCATCTGTTACCCTGGCCTGAAGATGTTTATGCCCAGACTCACAGGCAGACATGCTCTTTATCAGCTACCAGGAAGAATGCCTAGCCCAAGCCATGTTAAGCCTTCTCTTTGAAGACACCAAATAGAGACCACCCAGTTGTAAAGGTGGCAGAGGCAGATAAACAGGTAAAAGGGAAAATCACCTTTTGGCTACCAGGCTCTGTGTTTCCTGTGAAAGTTTCTCTTACTTTGCACTACTGTCTGATTATTAATCTGGGAAATAAACTCACACGTACATCCTGGGAATCCAGTTCTTCTGTCCCTGCAGTTAAAACTGTCAAAAAGGATTTCTTCTTGGGGACAAATACTTCTATTTATTTCCTAAGCCATTCCTTTGTATCTATTCTGTTTTGGTGATTTCTGTATTCCTCATCATGAGTGGCACCATGTCAGCCTAGAAATAAACTCATGTAGTGGTGACACAGAATCGCAGCAGCTCCTTTTCTTACCCCAAGTTCTGGATGTTATGTTGCTACAATGTCCTAGAGGCTCCACTACCTGGAGAAAAGTATTTACTTTGCAGAAGTTTTGATCAAACTTCACTCAGTAGGTAGCTCTTCAGGACCATCCCATTCAGAAATGAGCTCTTGTCTAATTAATGTCACTCAGATCGGTATGTGCTTGCTTTGAAGATAGAGAAGAAGTGCTGCCTAGTGGCCAAAATCCACATTTAATGGAGCAGGAGGGGTGTCCGACCTGGCAGCCCATCCAAAAAGGATTCATATTGTTACCTGGGTGGATGCTGCCCATAATCTCTCACTGCAAGCAATGCTGGGATGGGTATCAGCTGCAAATCTGATGGGAACCAGAAAGGGAGGTAGTTGGTTCGGTTGATACCCTGGAGGGAAGGAATGCCATCCAGAGGGACCTTGACATGCTTGTGAGGTGGGCACATGCCAACCTCATGAAGTTTAACCATGCCAAGTGCAAGGTCCTACACTTGGGTCAGAGCAATCCCAGGCACAGCTACAGGTTAGGCAGAGAAGAGATTCAGAGCAGCCCTGTGGAGAAGGACTTGGGGGTGTTGGTCAATGAGAAAATGAACATGAGCCGGCTTCAGTGTTTGCTCGCAGCCCAGAAAGCCAACTGTATCCTGGGCTGCATCAAAAGGAGCGTGACCAGCAGGTCGAAGGAGGTGATCCTGCCCCTCTACTCTGCTCTTGTGAGATCTCACCTGGAGTATTGTGTGCAGTTCTGGTGTCCTCAACATAAAAAGGACATGGAGCTGTTGGAACAAGTCCAGAGCAGGGCCATGAGGATGATCAGGGGACTGGAGCACCTCCTGTATGAAGACAGGCTGAGGAAGTTGGGGCTGTTCAGCCCGGAGAAGAGAAGGCTGCGTGGAGACCTCATAGCAGCCTTCCAGTATCTGAAGGGACCCTATAGGGATGCTGGAGAGGGACTCTTCATTAGGGACTGTAGTGACAGGACAAGGGGTAACGGGTTAAAACTTAAACAGGGGAAGTTTAGATTGGATATAAGGAGGAAATTCTTTCCTGTTAGCATGGTGAGGCACTGGAATGGGTTGCCAGGGGAGGTTGTGAATGCTCCATGCCTGGCAGTGTTCAAGACCAGGTTGGACGAAGCCTTGGGTGGCATGGTATAGTGTGAGGTGTCCCTGCCCATGGCCGGGGGTTGGAACTACATGATCTTAAGGTCCTTTGCAACCCTAACTATTCTAGGATTCTAAGTTTTCCCACATTGGACAAGGAAGCCTCAAACGCCATGTAAGCACTGATGGCTTGCGAACAGCCCTTGCTGGTGTGAACAGGGGTTGTGAAATGCCAGCTCCTTTTATTTTGTCATCTCAGGGGCAGGTGAGTCAGCACACTTGTGGTGTTCATGATTAGAAATCAAATCCTCAAATTGTTGAGGATCTTCAGGTCCTCAGGCTTTCAGTAAGTTTTAAGGATAGCATACTAGTTATAGAAATTCAGGGTAATTGTGTATGTGCAAAACATATCTACGCGCATTCTTAGTCCTTGTATGAGTTAGAGAATATATGCTGTTTGAATTTTATAGAAATGATGAATTTTCAAACATTTTGCTTTGCTGTATTCATCTCTGATCTCATGATAATTTCTATCCAAGCCTGTATCTACCCAAGCTTCTTGAAGTAGATGTCTGAAAAAGCAAGAGGCAGACACTCTCCATCTTCTACCCTCTCATCATCTTCTTTAATTTCTGAGGCAGGGTAAATTAAGG